AGATTTTTTTATAAAATTATATTAATAATTTTAGATTTGATTGTAATACTGGATCTAAAAGTAATATTTATAATAACATTAAATTTAAAAAACTCAAATTTAAGTGGGTCTAGCTGCAATACTAAATCTAATAGTTTTGGATATAGATCTGACTATAAAATTATGTCGTAAATGATACTAAAATATATTAATTAAAAAAACAAACATGAAGAAAAAGAAAAAAATCTGAATTAACTGAGTTAACCCATTAAACCTGAGATCCGTGTTATGAAAGTCTGATAACTAAATAGAAAAAAATTTAATATCAACAAACTAAATAAAAAAAGTTAATTAAAAAGAAAAAAAAAACATCAACATTTTTATTTTGGATTGTACTGTGCAGTCCACAGTGAAAAACATAAAAAGAAAAGAAAAAAACTGAAGGTATCAACCTTTTCACTGTGGACTGTATACAATATTAAAAGATAAAATCGAAAGAATAAAAATAATAAGAAAAAAAAATAATCTGAATCAATCGAGTTAATCGGTCAAACCTGAGATCTGTGTCATGAAAATCTAATAATTAAAGAGAAAAAATTTAATATTAAAAAAATAAATTAAAAGAATAATTACAAAACAAAAAAAACAAAAGGCATTAACTTTTTCACTGTGGATTGCACTAATCCACAGTAAAAAGCTTTCAAAGGAAAAGAAAAAAAAATAAAACAAAGGCATACATCATGGGTTAATTTTTTTTCTTGTATAAAAAATATCAAAAAATGCTAAGATATAAGAGTGTTATGTATTTCTACAAAAATATATCCAAGAGCCTTTGGTCTAGTTACAACGCTTGACCCAAGAGTAATATTTATAATAATACTAAATTTACATGACTCAAGTTTAAGTGAATCTGATTGCAACACTGAACCCAATAGCCTTGGATGTGGGTCTCGCTGCAAGGTCATATCATAAAAATATGAAAATTAAATAGATTAATTAAAAAAAGACAATAAAAAGAAAAAAAATCTGAATTAACTAGGTTAACCCTTCAAATCAGGTTAACTCGTCAAACCTTAGATTCGCGTCATGACAGTTTGATAACTAAATAGAAAAAAATTTGACGAGTTAAACCATAATTAACTGGGTTAACTTGTTGAAAGTCTGATAATTAAATAAAAAAAATTTAATATTAACAAACTAAATTAAATGAAAAAAATTAATTAAAAAGAAAAAAATAAAATTTTGGGTTAACTCGTTAAATCAGGTTAACCCATTAAACTTGGGATTCATTAGTTAACTAAATTAAAAAAAAAAATTATTAAAAGGAAAACAATAAAGAAAAAAGCAAAAAAAACCCATAAAGGCATAAAAAATAAAAAAAATGAAAACAAATATAATAATATAATTACAATAATAATAATAATAATAATTATATTATTATTATTATATATAAGTATTATTAAAAGGCGTTGCTTTCCCACGTGTTTTAGTATATTGTTAATTATTCCATGGCCATGATGGCTCTAAGACGCAAAAATTCTTGAGGAGTCTTCAGAATAATTTATTGCTTCCTAGCTTGGAGGGAGTGTCTCGGAATGTTATTGATATTATTTTTTAAAATGTTTTTTATATGAAAATAAATTAAAATAATATATTTTTTATTTTTAAAAATTTATTTTAGATATTAAAAAATCAAAACAATTTAAAAAATATAAACTAATAATTTGAAGCTAAAATATTTTTTTAAAATTTTCTAAAGCATGATTTGATAGATTTTTATAATATGGTTGGATTTTTTTAGCTTTTTTTTTTAATTATAAAGGAAAGCTTCACAGCTTTTTGAAAGAAAAGACATTAATATTAATATTAATATTATTTTAGCTAAAATTTATTTGTTTATTGGTACAACTTTTAAGTTGATAATTAAGGTTATATTTAGAAGCATGGCCGCAAGTGTGTTTTATTATAAATATAATTTTAAAAATATTTTATTAATTAATACACTATAATTTTGTATGGTTTTTAATGAAAAATTTATGTTAAAACTTCACTCAAGAAAAAAATATAATTTATATTTTTTTAGATTTGTTTTTGAAATTATAAAAATAAAAATTATTGTAATATCAAATATATATTAATTCAGTTATCAAACTTAATTGATGGTTATACTTACTTTATCAAAGAACTATTCAAATTTAATAATTTTTAATTTAGTTGTCAAAATTAATTGATGGTTATACTTACTTTATAAAGAATTATTCAAATTTAATAGTTTCAATTGTTAGGTAGGATTCCAAGAAACTTGCACAGATTTATATTATTTTATATTTAATTTTTATTAAATAAATAAGAATAATAAGATTTGAACTCGTAACTACTTGGTCGTTAAAACTCAGATATTATATTAAAATCAATCTAATAACTTAAGCTGTCAGATAAAATTTTAATCTATAATTTATATTATTTTTTAATATTTTTTTCACTCTAAAAAAATGAAATTATAGATCAAAAATAGATAATAGAAAAAATAAAAATGGAAGGCTGGGTGCTCTACTAGAGAGTTAAAAGGATAGATGAAATAGGCAAGGTATGTCGAGGTTCGCCTAGCCGTTGCTCCTTCCCAGATGGCAAGCTCTCTTTCCAACCTTCTTTTTTGGGAAGAAAAGGACAAAATTGAACTGGGAAGGTAGCTAATGTTTTAAAGAAAATATTAATTAAATTAATTTCCTCCCTTTTGCTCAAAGTAGTAAGGGGGTAATATATATATATATGAAATACTAGAGGAGGACTCTAGTACACAAACTCACAAGACTCTCACTCAGCCATAAATTAAATCATGCCCAAATCAAAGTTTATAGATATCTTAATTTATAAGTATTTTATTATAATTTATGAATTTTAGGGGGAAAGTTTATACGTTTTTAAAGGTAATTAAAAAGAAAATGCTTTGTAAAAGTAGGAATATAAACGAACAAATTTCCTTTACAACTAAAACTGCATGACATGTAAAACTGATGACTTGCCGTTCGTGTTTCTTGAACAACGAGGGTGAAGCCGTACGACTTGCAGTTAGAATCCCTTTGTTTTTTTTTTTTATATAATTGGAATGTGTTTTTTTTTTAAATAATTGTTTTACGTTTGTAAATTCGTTTTGATATATTGATATAACGAATAAAAATATACTTTAAATCAAGATAGACCGACCTATCGTCTGGGGGATGCCAATGCGCCCCAATAACCCACACAGCCACCATCTTTTCTTCCTCCGTACGTAATTCTACTTGAATTTTTGTTTTTTTAAGAAAAGAAATTATACCTTCTTGAATCTTGAGCTCTTTCATTCCAGCCATATCATTTTTCCCAGACAAACCCCAGTAACAGGCAACCAAATTGCATAGTTATGAAAAAATAAGAAAATATTAATTTTAAAAACATAAACAAGAAATAATTTTGGTGAATTAGTTAAATCATATATTAATTTTTTAAATCATTCGAGTTCAGTAGCACTGCAAGATCGTATCAGCTCTTGCTATTTCTAAATTAAAAATACAAGGGCTAATTAGCCTTGGAGCACCGATGACCATGTTTTTTCTGAAGAAATATTGTGCCAGCCATGTGAAAACTATGATCACCTCCTCCTGTTCGAGCTAGCTTCCCTCTCTTGAGACAGTGAGCATGCAATTGTGCGTGTGTGCGTGTGTACGAACAGGGCACGTAAAGAGTGCACACGTGTATACATGCAATATTGGAAATCAAATTGGTTAATGAGATGAGCAGCTGCAGCAGCCACAAGCACGTAGATCCCATAGGCACTGCAGCATTTTGTTCTGTACCCTTTTCTATCAGCTTACCTGTGTAGCTGAGATTATACCTTGCTGGAGTTGTGTGTGTGTGTGTGTGTGTGTGTGTGTCCACTGCATGCATGCGGATCGAGAACTTGTTTTTCAGAGAATAGAAGTGTGGTCCATGTAGCCATAGGCCTATCACAGAGATAGCTCATAGCTGCTCTCAAATTCACACCAAGAGGTTTGGGGCTCTCTTGTACTTAGTACACTATGCCCCCATTATTCTCAAAAGCCGAGTTATTACTTTGGTCAGTAACTATGTCATTTCATTATTTTTAAAAGTAATTTTTATTTAAAAATATTTTATTTTTTAAAATTTATTTTTGATATTGGTATTTTAAAACACGAAATTAATTTAAAATTAAAAATAAAATTAATTCTTTTAAACTCCTTTTGGATTCGCACCAAACATCACATTATTTCTTCTTCTTTTCAAGCAACTGTTGCATGTGATCATAAGGTCCTCGAAAGCTTCTAGGTTTTTTTTTTTTAAAAAAAAAACCAGAAAAAAACAAAACAGCATAACTGAAAAAAAATAAATTGAAGAGAATATTTAAATTACAGCTGGGCTATGGAAAGGAATCTGTAAATTAGACATAAACCTTTCTTTGAGAAAACCCAGCTACATCACCGTTAATTAAGGGGAAAAAAAGAAAGATGAAAATGTAAACCATTTCTATTGATTAAGTATAGACACTAATTAATTATGATTACTATTGATAAAAATAATTAATTGCAAGGTGAGATTAGCATCTATTTGTTCCTCTCTAGTACTCAAACCCCACCGGAAAATTCCACTCCGGTCACCAGCAGGGCATTTTTGGGATGGTAGAACACCCTTGAGGGAAAAAAAAAAAACATATATTATCTGGCCCTAATCAGAACATGACAGAGAGATCAAGATAAAGTAACATTAACATCATGCATATTAATTATAAGATACCATCTAATAACATCATCAGTACACATTATAATTACTGATAATCTAAAAGTTAATCCCCATGAAAATCACTGCTAACTAAGTTAAAACTCCAAGAACATGGAGTTTAAGATAATGATGTTTAACCCTAAAAGAAACACCAAACAAGGCATCTCCAATCTCATTGATTACTTTGTAAACCTCGTCGCTTTCAAAGAGCCCATAATCAACCCAAACATCAAGAAACTAATCATAGCTTATAAACGGAGGGTAAGGTCAATATTTGTAGGGTCATTAGGATCATCATTATCAGTACTTGTTGAAAGATCATAACCACTACCACTACCGCTACCAATATCATGATCAAGAGAAGCAGCAGCTGCAGAGACACCATAAAACCCACCATAATGAGGAGCCGAAACATAGACACCATTTGTACTGGGTGGTGCTGGAAACTGGTAGTTGGTAATCATCATGGGGTGGTCTAGTGCCTGCTGATGATATCGGTGGTATTGGTTAAGAAAGGGCACTGCAGGAGTACTTGCTGGCGGTGGGAGGTTATGGTTAAGAAATGATGAAGGGATAATCAAAGAAGGGTCTGTTGAGATGCTAGTGTTGAGGGTGGTGTTGTTTCTTCGTAGAGCAGCTCTTTCACGTTTGTGGGCATTTTGATGGCCACCAAGAGCTTGAGAGGTGTAGAACCTGCGAGGACAGTACAGACATGGAAAGTGACGAGAAGAGGAGGGTTGGGGTAGGCTTGTTGAGCTTTTCTTTGTGGGTTTTGAAGAAGAAGAAGAAGAAGGGTACTGTTGGTGTTGATGGTTGAGGAAGTTGAAGATTGATGGGTCTGCCATTGTTTAATTTTCCAGAGAAAAGGGGATGAGAGTGTGAGGGTCAGTGAGGAAGTGAGATTTTTATGGGGTTTAAGGTTTTTTGTTTGTACGTGTAGAGAGAGAATGGATGGATATGATTGGTTGTGAGTAAGTGGACGGAAATGCCCCTCTATGTCTTCACACACATGGGCAGTTTGAACCTTTATTGGGTTTAAGATGATGATCAATTGGTGTTGTTCATAACTGATTCCTAATTAAGATTATGATTTTACCCAGATAAAAAACATAGATATTAAAGAAACAAGAAAATAATGTTAGACAAAAATAATAGTCATTAAGTTATTGATTTATTCACAAGATATATTGATTTATTCACAAGATATGAATAAATTTTAACTCTTAAATTTATTGATGTGATAAATTAATCTAAATTATATTTTTTTATTAAATTTTTTTTAAATAATATTATTTTAATAAAATAAAAAATTACTTCAAAGTAAATTCCGCTCCAAGCTAAACTCTGGATCACTAGTTACATCAAATTTTATAATTATAGTAAATGGGTAATTGTTTGGTCATGTTTTTTTATAAACTTTATCAATTTTCAATAAATCTTGACATTAAAGTTAAAATTTGGTGATGATTGGTAATCACAGCACTAAAGCTTATTATTTTATTGCATGCTATTAAAATTTTGACATGCATGAATTTCGAGAGTGGGTGAGAAAGATTCCAAAATTCGTTTCATTTTATTAGGGTTCCATGTCTAGCTAGCAAACATGAACATTGCCCCATAATTAAGCAAAACAAAAATCATAGACTACTTTTAGTTCATTAAGAAAATAATGTTAGACAAAAATAATGGGCATTAATATTAATATTCACAATATATATATAAATCTCAACTCAATAGTTAAATTTATTGATCCAATAAATCAATTTAAATTATAATTTTTTATTAAAAAATTATAAATAATATTATTTTAATAAAATAAAAAAATTACTTCACAGTAAACTCTCTGGATCACGAGTTACATCCAATTTTATAATTATAGTAGATGGATAATTGTTTGGTCATGTTTTTTTTTATAAACTTTATCAATTTTCAATAAATCCTGACATTAAAGTTAAAATTTGGTGATGATTGGTAATCACAGCACTAAAGCTTATTATTTTATTGCATGCTATTAAAATTTTGACATGCATGAATTTCGAGAGTGGGTGAGAAAGATTCCAAAATTCGTTTCATTTTATTAGGGTTCCATGTCTAGCTAGCAAACATGAACATTGCCCCATAATTAAGCAAAACAAAAATCATAGACTACTTTTAGCTCGCTAATTCAACTATTTACACAGTGGCTAATATGTTTTTCTTTCGATAATAGTTTTTTTTTTTTAATAAAAAGTTTAGATTACGATTGAGCATAACTATTTATCTTATTGATTGAAGTTTGATGTATTGAATCTTTAAATATGTTTGGTGTTACAATTGAACAATCATTTCATTATTTTTTGATTTTTTTAAAATTAATTTTTTGTTTTTAATTTTTTAATAAGTTAATATTAATAAATTTTATATATAAATATATAAATTAAGAGATGGTTTTGAAATGCAGTACAAATCATACTTTTTTAAAAATTAATTTTTAATATATTTTAGATTGTTTAATACACTGATTTAAAAAAAATTATTTTAATATATTTTAATATAAAAACATTTTAAAAAATAATTATCTATCAAAATATAAGGTGGACGGAAATGCCCCTCTATGTCTTCACACACATGGGCAGTTTGAACCTTTATTGGGTTTAAGATGATGATCAATTGGTGTTGTTCATAACTGATTCCTAATTAAGATTATGATTTTACCCAGATAAAAAACATAGATATTAAAGAAACAAGAAAATAATGTTAGACAAAAATAATAGTCATTAAGTTATTGATTTATTCACAAGATATATTGATTTATTCACAAGATATGAATAAATTTTAACTCTTAAATTTATTGATGTGATAAATTAATCTAAATTATATTTTTTTATTATTGATCCAATAAATCAATTTAAATTATAATTTTTTATTAAAAAATTATAAATAATATTATTTTAATAAAATAAAAAAATTACTTCACAGTAAACTCTCTGGATCACGAGTTACATCCAATTTTATAATTATAGTAGATGGATAATTGTTTGGTCATGTTTTTTTTTATAAACTTTATCAATTTTCAATAAATCTTGACATTAAAGTTAAAATTTGGTGATGATTGGTAATCACAGCACTAAAGCTTATTATTTTATTGCATGCTATTAAAATTTTGACATGCATGAATTTCGAGAGTGGGTGAGAAAGATTCCAAAATTCGTTTCATTTTATTAGGGTTCCATGTCTAGCTAGCAAACATGAACATTGCCCCATAATTAAGCAAAACAAAAATCATAGACTACTTTTAGTTCATTAATTCAACTATTTATACAGTGGCTAATATGTTTTTCTTTCAATAATAGTTTTTTTTTTAAAAAAAAGTTTAGATTACGATTGAACATAACTATTTGTCTTATTGATTGAAGTTTGATGTATTGAATCTTTAAATATGTTTGGTGTTACAATTGAACAATCATTTCATTATTTTTTGATTTTTTAAAATTAATTTTTTGTTTTTAATTTTTTTAATAAGTTAATATTAAAAATTTTATATATAAATATATAAATTAAGAGATGGTTTTGAAATGCAGTACAAATCATACTTTTTTAAAAATTAATTTTTAATATATTTTAGATTGTTTAATACACTGATTTAAAAAAAATTATTTTAATATATTTTAATATAAAAACATTTTAAAAAATAATTATCTATCAAAATATAAGCAGACCCTCAAAACTTAGAAAAAAAAAAGTATTAATTAATAATCACCTCAACATGACATATGATGATTTGACGCATGTATGGGCTTTGATTTTTTGATTCATGAAGAAAATGTCTCTTTGTCCCATCAACAACTACTTAAGAGAGAATTGTGGCGAAGTTATTCTTCTTTATTTCATCCTCCTGTCTACTCTTGCAGTGCTAGCCAGTAGTTACCACTTGCCACACCCTATATATATATATATATATATATATATATATATATATTAAAACTCAAATTTGTGACTCAACCCGCATATAAATTAAGAGATGGTTTTGCACTTTTTTTAAAATTAAAATTTTAATATATTTTAGATTATTAATAATTTTATAAAAAAATATTTTAATATTATTTTAATATAAAAACATTTTAAAGAATAATTACCTATCAAAATATAAGCAGACCCTCAAAACTTAGAAAAAAAAAAGTATTAATTAATAATCACCTCAACATGACATATGATGATTGGACGCATGTATGGGCTTTGATTTTTTGATTCATGAAGAAAATGTCTCTTTGTCCCATCAACAACTACTTAAGAGAGAATTGTGGCGAAGTTATTCTTCTTTATTTCATCCTCCTGTCTACTCTTGCAGTGCTAGCCAGTATATATAGCATCAAGTACCACCATTCTAGCTATCTTCTCAACTGCTTTAAAAAAAAAGAAAAATAAAAGTTGAACGAGTTAGCAACTAAGTTTGTGTTCGGATTTTGAGAAGTGTTTGAGAGTGTAATGGTTATTTTTTAAAATATATTTTATTTAAAAATATATTAAAATATAAAAAATTAATTTTAAAAACATATTTTTAAAGCACAGAATAAATCTTGTACACAAAAACAATATCCTTCATGGTTTGTATGTGGCCAGCTTGAGCAAAAAATTATTATGTTGGCAGCAAAGGCATAATTAAGAGTGTAACGACAGTCAATTCCATGCCATGGATGTGTACAAACAAAGTTATATAGGGCATGACACATCAACATGTACTAACAGAGGTGCCACCGTATGCATACAGTTACATCTTAAAGTTTTGAAAGATTTTCCTAGGTTGGCTTGCAGGAGAGAGAAGGGCAGAATGGGAACACTATTTTGGAAGGAAAAAAATATGGGATCAAAAGGAAAGGATTGATATCTATGTACTTATTACTCCCTTTCCTGAGTGCATTGAGTGTTCAGTGTCAGTCTTGAGCGGTGCTGCAGCCCTATATCACCAAAATTTCTACCCAGTGTATGCGGGGTTTTTTATATATATATATATATACAGTGGGTTGTTTTTTAAAATATATTTTATTTTGAAAAATATTAATTTTTTATTTATTTTAAGGATTTATTTTCATAACAGCACATAAAAAATAATAAGTTTTTTAAAAGACATGACAACAGGCACTGCTTCTGAGCCAAAATGATAGCAGACTCACACACACGGATACATAAAATTGCATGGGGGAAACTGAATAGGCCAAACATCGGAGTTGCTATACAGTTTTGTCTGTGTGAGAGAGAGGAATAACTGGGAACATGGCCCGAATCAACACGGGGAAAATGGGTTAAAGTTTGTTATTGGTTGTTTTTTTAATAAAAATAAAAAAATTATTTTAAAGAAAAAAATACTTTCAAATGCATTTCAAACCGTCTCTTAAACTTTTTTTTATATATTTTCTCTTTGTATAGGTGTGTATAAACACACCAACATATATCTTTTTATTCATTTTGATTTTGAGCTTACCAATTATTGAATTTAATTATGTTTTCACTCACCAATTATTGAATTTAATTATGTTTTCACCCGAATGTTTATATATATATATATATATAACTTCTTAAAATAAAATATTATATAATATATTTTATTATATATATATATATATATATATAACTTCTTAAAATAAAATATTATATAATATATTTTATAGTTATTTATGGTTAATTTAATATATGATCCAAGTTATGAATTAGATGGGTTAATTCAGATTAATATTTTTTAAAAATAATTAAAACAATAGTAATTAAATTTTAACCTAGTTATAAGTTAACTCCTTAAATTAACTAGAATAAAACATGTCAACTTTAGACTTAATTCTTTGATGATCCAAGCTCGAGGGTGAGCGTTTCGAGTCACCTCACATAGCTGACATATCTATGATATTTGATCTTTGTACCCCCCCACCCAACACACACAAATATATATATATATGATGAGTAATTAGTTAAGCCAAAGTATATGTACACACGTGCCCATGCATATTTGGTAAAGCTATAGTATTTATCTATTAATATAATTTAACACATTTCAAACTTGCAGGAAGAATGATACTATTCCCTTCTCAACGATGAAGGGCCACGTCAGCTAAACCACACTGAGGTCTGAGAGACTGAGTGAGTGGATGTGTGGTGTGATTATTATGGACTGAAATATTGCAGTTGCAGTACTGTGACTCCATAGGTTAGTGACTAGTGAGGTGTGACTAGCTCAGGCCCCCAGAACAACCCCACCCCACCCGCCCCAAAAAAAAAACCAGGTGGGTTCTTAAGGTTGATGGCTGATCATGTGACAGGGAATTATTGGGTTTCCTGTAATGGGTTGTTTTAGGTTGGCTTGTCATAACATCAAAAAAAATAATTAATTAATTCAAAGCAGAAAAAAATTCAAAAATTTGCAAAACTACTGTTCAACGCCACGCCAAACACCATGCACTCCTTTTTAATACTGCTGAAGGACATTACAGGTTATAACACGAACTTGATAAGTCATCCAAATAAACTCTTTTCAATTAGTTCCATTTGAGTTGCATAGCATAGCATATGTATTAAATATAGCTCGGCTGACGGGCTAACTCGGAACTCGGCTAATTAGGTTAATAATCACCTGAGTTAAAATACAATGTTATTTTTATTTTTTATTTTTAAATAAAATTACTTTATATTTGTTTTTTAACTCGTGCCGTGACAGGTTTGATTATCGTGCTGCATGCTTAATTAGGATAATGAGATATATACGTTTATGTTTATGTCTATCTTTAAATAAAATTACTTTATATTTGTTTTTTTAACTCGTGCCGTGACAGGTTTAATTATCCTGCTGCATACTTAATTAGGATGATGAGATATACACGTTTATGTTTATGTCTATCCATATAAAAGTATTAAAAATTTATATAACTAATAATAATGTATAAGCAATGGAATGCAACGTATATATAAAGTTGTAAAAGAAACCAATAAACATCATGTTATTTGCATTGGCTTACTGATTAAATAAATTTGTACCTCGAATTATCTTATTGACTATTAATAATGATCGAACAAGGATTGATTATAAGTTTTTTTTTAATGTAATTATTATTATAATTTTTTACTTTAAATTATTTTATTATGATTTTGAATTTTTTTAATATATTTGTATAAAAAAAATTATTTTAATATATTTTCAAATAAAAAAATATTTTTAAAAAATAACAGCTATCAAAATCAATTCTTTATATATATATATACATATAAAGATGCTACCAAACTCTGACCTCTTATGTCAAATGGGAATTGCTTATTTGGGCATCTGGGGCCATGAGAAGCACTAGGCTTAGGCAGGCCCAATGGATCATTCCTTGCAAAAAAGTCCAAATTTCATTTTAAAACGAAGGACCCACCACTACCCGCCAAAATTAAGTGGCCTAACAAGCAGCACCATGAGACGATCACCAGGATTGCCACGCATCGCGTCTGCACTTGCATGTTTGGTAGGACTTCATCAAGCATATTCAATACCTCTAAGAGCAAAAATGGGAATCATCTCGAGAGCTTAAGAATGTAAAACTTTAACCCACTAATTATTAAATTGAGGTATTTACAGCTTGTATGGGGCTAGTCGTCTGCCAGTCAGTCATTTCGAGATGAGATGACTAAAAAGAAACATTTACAGTGTCAGCAAAGAATCCAGCTCCATTGAGATGACTTAGATGTTTCAGTTGCTGATGTCAAAGTACCTTGGATCTTCCGGGAAATGGTAATCTACATTTAACTGTCAAAGAAAGCAAAACAAATTCTAGTAAGACACCAGAAAGAAAATAGTAACATATTTTTTTATGTCCATATCAGCACTCTTCCCACATTCAGAATGAAGACAACTTGCTCTCAAGCGTTTTAGCTTCTTCGTGTGTCTCACTCCCACTCGCAAGGAAAACTTGCTGGGGTTCTCCCACTTCTGTTGCACTGTGTGGCCAAGTTTTTACTTCCCCTTTTACGCACTGCCCATGTTTCTTGTTAGTTTTAAACTTTTCCCCCATTGAAACTCGACAAGGACACCTTCACTTGGAAGTCATGGAAGAAAGTCTTGAAAGAATTCTTCACACGTGATTATCTAATCAGAATTACTAAACTAGGATATAAAATCAAGCATGTGCAATTTACCAAATGTCTTGAACTCTAAAACAATGCTACTTGGAGAAGGAAAAAAAATAAAGAAATTTAAGCAGTCTTAATGATGCCAATAATATTTGTTGCATATGCCCAGCAACCAATTATGATTCCGAGGAACTGGAATTTAATCAGCTGCTTCAACATCACTATCAATATTTACCAGAAATGAGCATCAAACCTATATATGTACCGTTTCAACTTTCAACACATCGGGGCAATTCATTCACTATTTGTGCACACAGCTAAGTGGAGTGATGACACTTGGAAGCCACATATTGCATGAATTTAAAATCACATACCTTGCCCTCATCAGCATCTGAATGGCGTTGAGGGAACACAACTCTCAAGTCATTGTATAAGTAGAACCTACGCTCCCCTTCTACACCTAAGCTCATCTTTTGTGGTATAGCTATAGGATCAGATATGCATTTCTTAACTGATTTAGAAGATTTCTTCGGTGAAGGGCATAGAAAACGGAGATGAAGTGCATAACGAAGAGCACCACCACCGGGAGTATTTTCATTTATCTTTGAACAACAGTGAGTTGGTTTTCTGTCGGTTTTATTGCATGTTTCCACCCCAGCGGACTCCTTCCCTGCAGTCCTCTGGCATTTAGGAGCACTGCAGTTGGCCTCAAGCATCAAAGAGTCCACAGTCACCTTCTCTACATTTCGAGATTGCTTGGGGAAACTCCTCGCATCAACCACATCCACTATATCACAGGATTCACTTCCTTTAATTTTACTCTTCTGGCCATCAGAAGCTGCAGGGTATACAGGATGGCTTTTCTGTGATACTGGTGACACCTTGTCTTTCACTTTTGTGTCCAAACCCATCTGTCCTTGTTTCAGTTCTGTCGAAGTTGGTCCGGAAGAAGCCAAAGAGACCTTCTGGCGCAGGAATGTCTGTGTTGATATTAACAGCAAGAAAGAGGTAGAATAAGTTAAAAATCTAGGTCAAACTATAAATCTTTAGGTTTGAATGAATGAATGTGGCAATGCAAGAACAAAAAAAAAACAAAAAACAAAACAAAAACAGCTGCTGGTAACCTGTTTCATGATTGTGGTTACATCAGAACAAAAACCCTATATTCAATTAAACAATGAGGAGCTTAGTAAAAAAAGAAAAAAAATTAGGCTCAACCTTCTGATTCTTGTTTCCGAAAAAACTCCATCAAATTGTCTAGCTCATTTTCGAAAGTATAGGTAGCAATCAATTAACAGAATTGTTTAAAAAGTTTTTGATTGGGAAAAGAACTCATTTTAACTCATTCTAGTCACTCACAAATATCATTATCTAGGAAGGTGATAGTAATCAGGAAACTCAAGAAGCTGAATGCCAACAAATAACCAATTGCTCATGGTGCATCAATTCTCATACTAGATACAAGAATATATGTATTTAAATAAAGTTCAACAGCAAATCATACTTATTATGCCTGAATGTACTAGAGACAATGATCCAAGTGCTACTACATCTTACTTTGGTGCCAGCAGGCATGTCACTCAGATCATAGTTGCAAAAGAATGTGTGAAGAGGAGTTTTCTCCGGATTGCTGATAACCTGAAGAAAGCAAGCCAGTTTGATAGTAAATAACACATCTCTTACATCAACAACCCACCTATTAGCTACAAAAATCCGCAGCTGCATAAAGTTTGAAGGAAACAGAACAAAGATGTCTAATATTGTGATTTAGCATTAGACCCAAATGCCAATAAAATGTAAAATAAATAAAAGATAAATACTACTCCTCACAGCTGAAGACAAAATATAAGCAAGACCCCTAGAACAGCAAACTCCTAAAGGATGTGATGAAAGAAAGACATTCTCATCAAATTGGTTGATCACAGTCCCATCCATTAAATGTGACTAAGGTGGAAAAAGGTTCCACCAAAAATCAAGAGCATAAACATAAAGAAGGCCGCCAAAATATGTAAAACCACGTTAAAGGTGGAAGAAACAATTTGAAAACAAGAAATCATCGTTTATCTAAGGAACTCAGGACCACCAAAAAGGTTTGCAGAGAGATATAAAGTACCAGTTGTATTCGACCTTTCATGGGTATATGCAAGCGACTCCTAACAATTTGAGAATCATCATTGCTTAGGCATCTTTTAAATTTTTGTTCCCTACACTTGCTTGATGATGAATTTCTACTAAGATCTATGGATGCATAATACAGTAGATAGCAATCTCCATCTACACTGGTCACTGAAAATGGAAGCTTCTGTGATTGCGGTGAAAAGTTCCCTCCAGTAATGCTTAAAACAGCTAGGAAGCCATCAATTCTCTGAAGGTAGAACATGCCATCCAAAAGAATAAAATATCAGATGTTTTCCAAGAAATGAAACAAAAACCAAACACCAAAATACACATAGCATCACATAGCTACTTACCTGAGTGAATCTTCCACAAAAAAACCGTCCAGACAGTAGTGACTCCTCAAATGAACCAACCAAGGACCTCCTAACAGAAAGACCACCCAAACTTCTCAGTTGCCTTATGCATTGGGCTGGAGCAGATTCTCGACATAAAGGTGACCAACCTGAGTCAGTAGTGCCTTCCAAGGAAGATGGACAAAACTCTTTACAGAAGCCAATATCTTCAAATGATCTGCTTGAGATCCTGAACTCCGCTTCTTCAGAAGCAAAGTTAATGGCTGAGTCATTTTTGTCAAATGAATGCCCTATTTTTTCTAAATTCAAACAGCAATCCTCAAATTGGCTCTTGACCTCTCTGCATCCTCCTGCAGTACTCATACTTACACAAGACTTTGGACCTAGAGGAGACAGAGAGAGTGGAGATGAAAATCCCTTTTGGGAGGATACCTTAGACTCTAGGTAATGATTGTGTCCAGGAGAGTACAAACAATTAACGCAAGAGAGCGCATCATTTTTTTCCAATAATGGACCATCAGTCAAACAAACAGACCTCCTAGCACTATTGTCACATGGCACATTCTTTTGTTCCCAGCAGTCAGATAAGGATCGAGATGGCACACTAATATGAATTTTTCTACCAACATTTGGTTTCTTGTAGTCATGTGACGCAGAACCTTTGAAATGATCAGCATGAGTAGGGCAACTCATCCGAGAAGTATTGCAGCTGATATCCAAAGATTCACCATTAAATTGTTTTGCAGAAAGCATATCATTTAAAGGCGATGACAGTAACCGCTTCCTGACAAGGGATCCACTTGACTCAGCCTCATTAATCGTGACACCATCAACAGCAGAAGAACACACATGATCAGCAGAAAGAATCTCAAATTCATTATTTAAAGAAATCATTCCATGTGATTTAAAACCCACAATCCTAGAAGCAGGGATTGGAATATTCCTCCCACTTTTAGGAGTACAACAACTAACTTCATCCACAGAACCAGTTTTCAACCCATGAAAATTGGAAACAACATCCACTGCCCTTCCAAATTCAAATGAATTCTCTGAATATTTCGAAAGATCCAAGGAGGGTTTCCCCTGGAAATTTCCTAATGAGGAAGTCCTAGCATGCCCAACTGTTCGGCCAATATTTCCTCCACCCAATCCACTTATGCCAGCATATTGCAGTGGGCTTTGCAAAAAAGTGCCCAACGACGCTGCTGGAATTTCATTAGCACTATCAGTAGAGGAAACTTGTGGCAAACCCATAACTAAAATTTGAAGAAACTAATATCTACTTATCCAGCACAGCTGAATAAATTACCACTCCCTTCTCTCTGTTTTACAAGAGCAGCATTTTAATTTCACAACATAAATTGCCACCGGCTCAACTTTGCTAACAGATTAGAAACTGCTCCTCTAACTAACTACTGAAAACAGATTCCAGACTCCTAATCCTATCAATGTAGTTGAATGAAAGCTGAAAGAGCATGACAATCAAATGTAAATGAATCCCACAAAACTTTTTCCTTACTATAAAGGAGAAAGTACTATGCATCCACCAAAGGCATCCACATTTCACATACAACTCCTTTATGGGACTGAGTAGAGAATGCCAAACACACCATCACTATCCAACCATAACGGGTAGCCCGGATTTGTTTACCTCCCAACCAGCAAGCGATGAAGCAACAAGAATTCATACTCGAACAGAGTGATACTCTCTGCCTGATAAAAATTAAATAATAAAAAAAAAGAGTTAGTTGTCTATCTTGAACAATATGATTTAAACCAGAATTTTCAATGAACTAGGTAAATTTCCAATATTTCTCATACACGACCACAACATGAATCGTTAATTGATCAAACACGGATCACCATAACCTACTAATGATCTAATCCAAATTGCAAATATAGTAAACTCCAGTATAAGAGAAGAAAGAACCCAAAAGGACAAAACTACCATCGAGTACACCAAAACTACTAAGACATACAACAAATGTAATCCATTAGTAGTCTAAAGCAGCATAACCATAACCAAAAACAACAAAGCAAAAGTATCTCAGAATCAAAGCAAAGTCTCATCAACTATCTAGTCAAGCCAAAACATCAAACAACAAGAAATCATTTGAGTTGCAAAACCAACAAGGCAAAGAGAATATACTTAAAGCACATAAACTGATTCCTTGACATGATCAACAAACAAAAACCTCAAATGGGTTGCTTATAAGGCACACATTCACTTCAAACCCAATCTGAAACCATCCATCACAAGCAACATTTATTATTTTAAATTAAAGCAGCATATTTTATCATCAAAACCCACAAAAAGATAACCAAACCCGGAACACAATTTAAGCTTAATTATCAAATAAGCAAAAAATAAAATAAAATTGATGATTGTTTCAAGTTAAAGCAGCGTATTATTAAAAAAAATTAAGAGAAACCCAGAGACCAATCAGAGTCTAATCATCAAAATTATCAAAAACATAATTAAGTAAATTTTAATCACATGAATGTGCAAGCCACAGCAATCTGATTAGCAGGCCCACCAAAAGAAAAGTTGAGCAAGGATTCTGATGGATAAGTAATTTCAAAGATGATCTTCCATATAATTCAATCAAATCAAAATCTCCGTCCAGATCATGTCAGAAATATATATACTATAACAACTGAATTTCCAGATAAATAAAGATTAAAACAGGAGAAGTGTACATTTATTGGTGACTTTTTTTTTTTCCTTTTCTGTATTGGGTTTTTGATAGAGAGAAAGTGGGTGTGAAGAAGTTGTAGAAGAAGAATGGGAAAGAAGAACCTTGCCCAAGGGCATGTTTATAATCCCAAGAAAGAGAGAGACAGAAGAGTCATTACATTAGCATAATCAACCTTACGTTTTGTTACTTTTCTCATTTCAATTTCATGGCTGTAATTTCAAAATTAAGCTCTCTCTGCGCCCCCCGTTCTTCACTTCCACTTCTTTCCTTAGCCATAAAATTTGCAAGAAACTTCCTTTAGATGCTTTTTTTTTTTTCTTACCCTATGCTACTTTACATTACTTATTCAAAACTTAAACACTATTAACTTAATATATAATTGGCCGTGCTTTACTCTAGGTAAAATTAATTTTTTAATATAAAAAAATCTTAGAGTTTTTAATTATTTTTCTAGTAGAAAAAATATATGAGAATTAATTTAATATGACTTAGTCATCTTGATAGTTTTAAAAATAACTTGAATAACCGGTAAAAACATAGTTTGACTCAAAATAAATATTTAAAATAAGATTTCATTTAATAAATATTGAGATAATAATATATTTGATCTATTCAGGTCCACCCAGGTTAACTTATCAATTTGCATACCAAGTGATGAAATTATGATAATCTTATAAAAAAAAATACAAACAAATTACAAAGTCAATTTCTTATAAATTTAATATTAAATGATAAAAGTAGAAAACAATCAATTAAAAAGACCAAAAAAATTATGTGAGTCAACTCAGGTTAACTTGTCAAACTCGCAATCTGGGTTATGAGACCGAGATAATCTAATAAAAAAAATAAAAAAATTATGAAGTCTAATTCTTAATTAACCTAGTGTTGAAAAATAAAATTAAAAAAAATAGATTAAAAAGGGACATAAAAAACAATTGGGGTCAATTAGGATTAACCCATCAAACCCGTGACCTGATTCATAAGATATGTATAACCTCATAGAAAGTATATCAAAATAAATCACAAAGTTTAATTCCTTATTAATCCAATGCTGAATGATGAAATTAATAAAGAAAAAAAGATTAATTAGGTAAAGAAAAAAAATACTAGAGGTAACCGAGTTGATCTATTAAACTTGTTATTCAGGTCATGAGTATATGATAACCTAATAAAAAATAAATAAATAAAAATTACATAGCTCAATCCTCAATAAGTCTAATGTGAAAAAATGTTATTATATATATATATATATATGAAAAAAACAAAGAAAGTATATAAAAACATTATTCAAGTTAATAGTATAATATGACGGGAGTACACTAAAAACCCCTTATTTTTTTAGTTTTTTTTGTGTTAATTTTTATGACAAATGTATTTTGTAAGAGATGTCCCTCTTAACATGTTTATATTATTCATACATGAGGTTTTTTATTAAAAAAATATTTTCTTAGTTATTTTTATTTTTTTATTTAAAGAAACTAAACATTGTACTTAATAATTTTATTTTTTTTCTAGTTTGTTTAGAATTTTTATTACTTTTCTTTTATTTCTAGGTTTTCTACTTTGTTTAGATTAATTTTTAGGTTTAATTAAGGAATTGTAAACTTATTAAAAAAGCAAACTACTTGAAAGAAATATTCAATAGTAAAATTATAAACTAAGATTTTGATCTTTATTTTTAAGATTTTGTATTTTTTTGATTGTTATCTTTATTGTGTTGTTTCCACCAACATCACTTATATTTCCTTATTTGATCTCTAATAATCTTTTACATCTTCATTATAAACAATTATAACATAACTTTTAAAGCTTTATTACTTCCATACTAGTGTTAACTTAAATATTGAAGAATTCTTTTAGCTCAACAGAGGACTTTTTTTGTAGATGTTTATGAAATCCAAGTCCAGTAGTCTTGGTCATTTAGTCCATCAATTAGCCTTAAAAAGATCTTGATCTTTTGAGGTTTTATTCAAACCATATTGGTGACGTTGTTTCTAAGAAATTATATAAAAGTCGGTTCAGTTTCTTTTCTTTATATATATCTTATAGTTTTTTTCATGATTGATAACCCAGCAACATCAACACATAAAAGGCTGAAAAATCCCCTATCATATGTGCACCAACAGCTCCTTTAGCTCTTTAACAACTAATTTTAAAGTAAAAATTCTCATATAAGCTTTTTTTAGCTACACAAAAGTAGTTAAGAGTCTTGGCTATTCCATAATAGGTGGCTTATCCATCAGCACCCCCTTTTGCCCCTTTTAATTTGCGTAGACAAATCTAGTTTTAGGATAAGACATTTAAATGAAGTACAAAAGGGTAAGAAAGAGTGTCACCACTTCAAAGCTTACATAAAAGTTGTTCTTGTCATCACGAATAATATTTTCTAAGTGGATGCTCTAAACATGAACAAAAAAAAGTTAAAAAAACAAATAAGTATGTAGTCACAATCATAGAAGTAGTCATCGACATCACTTCTAATTAGGAATATCCTCTGGTATCTTAGATAGAAAAACAACTTGAAAAGAAGTTAAGTCCATAATTATACAAGCTCTTTATGTGCAGGTGTATAACCTTCACATGGTGAAAGGCTCTTCATTAACTAAACGAGTATTGGATACTCATCTTTTTAAGAAACTTCATTACTATAAAAATGAATCTAGAAAAATATTATAGACTTACAGACCCAAAAGAGCATGTAAAAAATGCGTTTAGCATTTTAGAATTGATCATGTATGACATAAACACCATATATAAGATTCTCTATTCCAAGTTTCATGAATTAGCTCGGATATGATATGATTATTTGAATCCTAAATCCATTCTTGATTTTAAGGATCTTTATGCAAAGCTCATAGCCCATTATAACATGAATATCATGCCTAATAAAAGCTCAACTAAATTGTTCGTCATCAAGTCAAGAATAACAGCACTTGAGTCTACTTGAAAATATTTAATAAAAAGAAAATGAAAACAAAGGACCTTACAAAACCAATCACTTGAGTTGTACATCTTTTTTTACATGACCATCCTGAAGGTGAATATCATGAAAAATTATATTATGGTAGCAGAAACAATGAAATTATCTTTATATGATTGTTAAAATATACTATTCTCCACGAGTTGTTCTTCATATATTCTTTCCATGAATTTTTTTTCATGTATGTTCACAATGGTATTATCTTCACTAGACTCTCCACATCATGTAAGAAATCTTATTTCATATACATGTGTACAATATGATTTCCATTCTCCAACCTAGATATAAGAAACAACTTTGTTTAAGTACTAAAACATTCTCTGCCTTTAGGTGTAAAGCATAAATCTGCTTGGGTATTAGACATTTTCCATCCCGAGTATAAGAAGCAACTTTGCTTGGGTAAAAAAATTTCTACTTGAGTACAATATGATCTCTATAAAATATTTATCACTATATTTTCTCTATATTACTCTCCACCTTGGATGAAAGAATGTCCTAGCCTAGGTACAACCTAATCTTTGTGATGAGTCGTTAAGTATAGACTCTATATAAGAAATTTCTATGAGTAATCTCTAAAACAATAATTTCTAAAACAATCTCTATTAGTGGTTTTTGTACAACTATCCATGACAAATCTTCAGGAAATGGTCTCCATATAATGATCTCCTTAAAACATTCACATAACATCATCTCTAGGAGATTCTTCACCTTAGGTGAGCTTTTTTTCTATACTTAGGTGTAATATATTATCCATCCTCCATTTGAGATTAGGATAACACTTGGCCTTAATATAATGAGTTTCTTAAAACAATCGTTAATTGAATATCTAGCCTAAGCAATATAAGAAAAATATACCTCTATCTAGGCTAAGGCATCACTCATTTTAGGTATAATACCACTTTTTCATAAGTCATTCTCTATATATTATTCTTTATGAGTTGTTCAAATCAACCATTATGCCTAGGTGTAAAAGGCATCATGCCACTTAATACAAAAGATTATTACAAAAAAATTCAAAGTAATCCCGAATAGCTCATTAACCATTCTAGAAAGCCCTTTAATACATCAAATAATAAAATATGTATTTTAAACTTGATGACTCACATCTCTAAAGTCCTAGTCCACTTAAATCACTTATATAAGAAAATTACTCTATCTCATACTAAATAAACCTTATTATGAGACAATATGAAATTAACGAGAGATACATCCCCCCGAACTAATAAGAGATGCTTAGCTATGAGCCCCTCCCTCAATAGGACCAGTTATACATCCTCCTCTTTAGTGGACTAACCTCAAGTTCCTTTAAACTAACCATGTGTCCCCTTTAATTGAGAACTTCCCTTGCATTCCCTCTATTTATTAGATCAATAACATCTTTTTCTTAATGGATTGACCACGTATCCTTCTTTTTGGTAAACCAACCATATATTTTTATATACCTTGAGTGCACTACCTTAGTTAAACTTGGTTTACTAATCACCAACTAAAAAGACAACACATATATGAATTAAACACACACACACACATATCCTCATGTCATAATAGAGGCCATATAATAGTGTTATGGCATATTCATGCCTAGGGGATAACTGACACAATCAAAAGAGTCCCAAATATATGAGTGACGAAGTAATAAATAACTCAGCAAGACTGGGGTCGAAACACAGGGAAGTTAATCATATAAATTATAAATAACAACAACAACAATAATTATAATAATAGAAGTAGTACTAATAGTAGTAGTAGTAGTAGTAATAATAATAAGAAGAAGAAGTTAAAGAGGACTTTGAGATTGTAATATTAATGTGAGGATTAAACAATAATAAAAACAAATATCAAGGTTAAAGGATCCGCTAATGGTATTTCAAACAAGTATAGTATAAACTCTTATTACTTAACTGGAAACCATATATAAAGAAGATTCCAATTGGATTATAAATTGTTAACATGATTACATTAGTTATCTTATTCGAATAATGTTAATACTTGTAAATATTGTCAGGTATTCATGATTATAACTCATGCTAACAACAAATCAAGTTCCTTTCACAACACAGGTGTCTATTATACCATATAATTTGAGCTATGAAAGTACCAAATATTTGTTGTACCAATGATTATACAAAGTAAATCTAGATTAACCATTTAACAAGCAAAGTATTAAAAGT